GCAACTCACGTTCTATTTCAAAAGTATCGTTAATAGATTTTTAAGTCTGATTTTGGCAGTCACGTACTAGAAGTTGACATTTCAGTCCGTTTAAAGGCAAAAATCAAATTTAAGTCTGAAAAATTTCTTAAGAACAGGTTAATGTACAAAGATCTGGGTCGCTATGTAATGTAGGGATTTGATTGAAGTAAATAATCTCTATTTGAAATATTTTTAAATATAATGTTTATTGAACAAAATACAGGAGAAAGAATTGTAATTTATGTTCCTGTTTCTTTACCTTCGTCGTCGAAATTATTTACGTAAAATAACGAAGTTAACTTCGTAAAACCTGTGTACCTCTTCAGATACGTATTTTTCAATCTTGTTACGACGTATAAAACAATTATTCACTGCTCCCTGTCTGGTTCTGATATAATCAATTTTCTAACAGTTCTATTATAATTTAATTTGTTTTGTAGTTGGGTCAAATTAAGCGTGACTATTATCATGGACGTTATACGTCATCTTGGTGTTATCCTAACACAGAATTTCAAAAACTGCACAAATTTCTGTCTATAAATGTATAAAAGGGCTAGAGAAAAGTTATAATCGCTTCGGCCCATTGAACGAGCAGTCATGAATATATACGATTGTTAAAATTCTTTCGTCGAGTGATAATTCTAAGGGCTCAGCCAAGTCGAAGACTTACCTCTGCAAAAAAAATTTTAAAATGCGAGGATTGAAGTATATTCAGTTTCTGAAGCACTGTGCCTGGATAAAAACAAGACACTTTATAATGTCATTAATGACGGTCATGTTTGTAGTTCTGTGGTGATTTTCGTCATGTAGAGCGTAAAATAGTTTTGAAATTTTATTTTGGCTTATTTTTCATCCGGTTGATCCATAGTAGTAATATATTTGCTTCTGATATATTTTTTTTATAATTTAGTTTTCTTGTATTTTGTAACGGGAATTTTAATGTACATTTTTGTCGACTTTTTCTGCTTCTTATTATTACTGGCCTATTCTTCTTCTTCTTCTTCATCAGTAGAAACATCATTATTTGACGATTCTGAAGGGTTCTGATGGTTTAATAAAATCTGGATTGGACATTGGACAAAGTCCAGAAACCCAACAATTCGTATCATCGTTCGTACCATAACTATTATTTTTACTGATAAATATTTACCAATTTATTTAATATAAAATTAATATGTACAATATTAACTCGCTATGGAAATACTATAAATAGTTTTTTATTAGAGTTTGTAACAATTAATACTTCAACTTAAAAGATTTTACAGTAATGTTTTAAAAAGACGCTTAAAAGTACTAGACAGCCCATCTGATCGCAATAAGTACCGACATCATGGATTTAAATTCTTGGAATTACAAGTTTGTCCACTTCTGCGTCATCCGATGAAGATATAGAAATTATATCGAACTGGAGAGACTTTTCAGTAGAGTTTATAAATTCGTTTTTTTATAGGAAATTAAGGTTTAAGTTATGCTATTCTATTAAGAAGACAAAGAAAATAAATAGATCATATTTATATTTGTCTCTCCTCTCGTCACCATGCCAAGACCATACACGAGAACCTAACCTAAAACTCTATATATGAAGTCCATTACTAGATCGACATATTCACGCCGTTTCTCCAAGATCTTTTTTAATATTATCCTCGAATTCCGTGCTATTCTATTAAGAAGACAAAGAAAATAAATAGATCATATTTATATTTGTCTCTCCTCTCGTCACCACGCCAAGACCATACACGAGAACCTAACCTAAAACTCTATATATGAAGTCCATTACTAGATCGACATATTCACGCCGTTTCTCCAAGATCTTTTTTTAATATTATCCTCGCATTCCGTGCTATTTATTAAGAAGACAAAGAAAATAAATAGATCATATTTATATTTGTCTCTCCTCTCGTCACCACGCCAAGACCATACACGAGAACCTAACCTAAAACTCTATATATGAAGTCCATTACTAGATCGACATATTCACGCCGTTTCTCCAAGATCTTTTTTAATATTATCCTCGCATCCCGATTGTATCTTACTTTAAGGTTTTCTGCCCGATATTTATTATCCGTGTCAGATTTCCGTATTTAAGACACGTCATTGATTCTAATAACAGCGCTTCACTAATTCACGTGAAGAATAAAAGTTAATGAAGGTAAGTACCATTTTATTATTATGGTATATTATATTTGTAATGAAGTTGTCAAAGGTGCTTAACTAAGTACCACTTCATGCTGACGTTTCGGCAGGTAATGTCATCAACCGTGCGTCATCAGAGTCTCAAATTCAAAATTTTTCGTCACATATTAATCACTTTAACGGGCATTAATCCTTCTTTGCTAGTCCTTCTGAAAATGTCGTCATCATGGGTTAAATTTGTTACTGGCTTGATTTAAGTTTCATTTCCTTAAAATCCATGCTGGGAAATTTTCATTTTCTTCTTTTTTAGACTAAATTACGGTCTGTGTTCATTTGGTTCCACATACAGCTTATCACAGTGTTCCGTTTGCCATTAACATAGTTGATTATCACGTAGACAAATTACTAAAATTTATGCAAAGTTCTAGTCACTATCTTCTGTATTTTGCTGGTTTCTTTGTTTATAATGAGTTATTACGATCTCCAAAGTCCACATTGAAAGTGTTACGAAAGTCAGTAGGTTTATGAAGCCAATACATAAATCGTAGCTTTCACTCACATCTCGTATCAAACCTATTACAAAGAAACCAAACAAGGAATTAGTAACAATATTACGAACATTACAGAATAATATTAAATTGGATCTTAAAAATTAAGGTGGAGTATATGGACTGTCATAATTTTGCTCAAGATAGGAATAAGTAATGAATTCTTTTGAACATGATCGTGAAATTCAAAGTTATACATCGATAAATTTCTTGCTGCGATGAATAATTTTAGGATTTTTCAGTCTGAAACAGTCTAATAAAATTGACACGTGGTTTTCGTCAGTTTCTGTAACACTCAAAACATAGCGAAGATTTATTTTAACTCTTTAAAGCCCAGTGGTAACTATATGTACCACCTGCTTTCTTAATCAATAACTCTGCATTTTGTGCTATGGGTCTCGTAGGATTCTCAGCTTAAACAGTGGTTATTTCCTTAAACTGCGTTAAAACTTGATTTCTGTATTGATGAAGTGTCGTGTTTTCTTTGCGGTACGGACTAAATTATTCAAAGGATCAGTGTAGACAGTAAGGAAGATTATTTAAGGTACTAGAGTTCTTGACCGATCAAACACAGGGATCCTGAGTTCAAATCTCGTTCGCTAGATTGGAGGATAATATTAAAATGATTTCTTTTATAAAATAGGGGATATTGTGGACTACGTTTATATAGCTCAGAATATGGGACCATTGAGGGGGCTGTTAAGCTATATTAAGTTCTGTAGCTCTGCATCATGGAGTTAGACAACTTTTAGTGTAAATTTTGAAGTACCTAATTTCGTCGAAAAACTTCTGAGTAAAATCGAAAACTAAGCACGATAATGGTATACATGGCGCAATTAGTATAAAGAATTAATTTTTAAAAAAAGTAGTTCCTGATTTTAATGAACGTATTACTTTTGCAAACTTAGTTATTTCGTTTTCAGTAATGGCGGCTCGCAGTGTGGTCACTTATTGTCATTGACCTTGAGTGACCTTGATGCGAAACTGACCCAACATACGCTTTTTGACAGTTCCCTGATAAATGAATTTATGTTAAGGTTGTGTTAAATAATTAGTTTATTTATTCCTGATGAACTAGTTGGATTTTCGTCTCATAAATCTTGTGTCATGATATCTCATCACAGAATAAGAACTAGTATTTCCATCTCTTTCTTGGATGCCCTGTGTTTATTTTACCATTGAGTTAATAGTGGATTTCGTCTGAATGGTTAGCATTCCTGAATTGCATTCTTGAGATGTCTGGATAATACTTCAAATTAGGCCACGACCGCGTTGTTCTACATACTTTCCCATTATTTACTAGTCAATTATATTCGACGCGAAAAAGTCTGAGTGACTGTTTTTCTGATTAATTTTTTTGGTATTTTTAACTACCGTATTTCCTTGGTTTTAGGTTGTACTTTTCCACATTTTAAAATTTTTCAAATCGGGGTGCGTCTTACATTTGACGGCGTCTAATAATCAATATGGCATCTTTTTTCCTCAAACCCTATTACTAAATCAAATGTACGTCTTAAAATCGAGGAAATAATGGTTTTTGATTAGGTTATATAGCGCTGGATTTTAGAACGATTCCTAATAATTGAGAATGATTTGAAAGTTGTCATTGTCTATTTAAAGAATCTACACCAGTAGTTCAGTAGGTTTTAAGGATAACGTCACAAGACCTCAATCTATAGGTTCTGGTGGTTGAACTCGGGACTCCTAAATACAAAACATAATACAAACGACTCGACTAGCAATAAATAAGTCGACATCCGCACATATCGATTTTTATCGTATCGTTTTATAAACATATGTCTGTAACATAATACTAGCGACTCGACTGGCAATAAATAAGTCGACATCCGCACATATCGATTTTTATCGTATCGTTTTATAAACATATGTCTGTAACATAATACTAGCGACTCGACTGGCAATAAATAAGTCGACATCCGCACATATCGATTTTTATCGTATCGTTTTATAAACATATGTCTGTAACATAATACTAGCGACTCGACTGGCAATAAATAAGTCGACATCCGCACATATCGATTTTTATCGTATCGTTTTATAAACATATGTCTGTAACATAATACTAACGACTCGACTAGCAATAAATAAGTCGACATCCGCACATATCGATTTTTATCGTATCGTTTTATAAACATATGTCTGTAATATGTACGCATTACTTACCAGTAAGTGGTCCGAAAGCCATAAGGAGAATTCCATTGACGACCATTTGAATGCCAGAGGCTGCAGGTAAGCGTTCGATTGGAACGTAGCTCGGGATAACTATTGTCATGTAAACGGTACGAACGCCTTTAGCCACTCCTAGAGCCACGGACACTGCTATCACAGCTTCGAACGACTGGGAGAATATTAAAGCTGCAGAAAAAGATATAATTTCACAGTTAATTGGTAACTTGTGTTTTTTTAAACTATTTTACTGTTTATGATATTGGCCTTAGACAAAACGTAAATTTAAAAGTGATGATGAAGCGAGAAAAGTTTTGAGGTTATGTACACTAGATGAGAAAATAAAGATTTTAGATAAGTTAACGAGGTGGAATTATTGCATCAGCTGTTGGCCTGCTATTTTGTTGGTATTATAATTTAATGTTTAACTTACCTACAGTTTATTCGTAAATAAGTATAATTATAATATATATCGATAACTTTTAATTTACCTTCCATTTTCACAGACGCAATGCAATATTAAGTTCGTCCAACGCTGATTAACCAAAAATTTATCTCCCTGCGTTGAATGAGTTAACTTTATTTGTATGGGTTGATATCTGAACAGTTTGTCACGAAATTTCTGATAAATTTACGCAGATATTAACATTTATTTATGTAAGTAGTGCGGACTATTATAGACCACTGCGCTATGTACTTACCTGTTCTCGAAGATATAAGCATAATTAATGCTATAATGTACATGACTCGAGCTTTTATCTTGTAGTAGTCACTGAAGAAGGGTGCGAAGAACCGAAACACAATGTCGAGACCAGCGATTATAGACATTAAGATGGCAGTGCGATCGGTGTCGAATCCTTTGTCGTTGAGAATAAAAGGTGTTAGGAGACTGAAGTTTAGTTCAGCGCAAATTGCAAGAGACATGCCAACCATCAAATTCACGTATATGGGGTCTTTCAGAAGTCCTAGGTCGAAAAATGCCACAATGCCTCTCCTAATCCTTTTCCAGAAACTTATCTCGTCTTCCTTTCTTTCTGATTCGTCATCTTCCTTTTCCTTGGCGGAGTTCTTACCGTTTTGTGTGTTCGCATTTTTGTTCATAAGCCTGAAACAGTTTACGATAGAAATATTAGCTCGTAATGGAACGTGTTATTAATTGTAGATCGAATTGGGGACATTTTATGTTTGCTACTAAAAGCTTTAGTAGTTGTGAGAAAATTCTGTTATCAGAACAGGTAACATAACTAACACGAAATAATCTTATAAATACCATTATAAGAAACGTAATTTTTAATAGTATGACAAAGAGGTTATAACAATGTTTATTTTATAATTTAGTTTACACAGTAAACTGAAGTGAATCTTCTTCAATCCTACATTGTCATCTGGAAATTACCAATTTTTGATATGATTTATAACTCTTAAATTACAGAATTTGGCTAAGATTTTGTTATATTGCATCGTTATAGTTTTATATTTAATAAAACTGGAATTTTTCTGCGCACATGCATGCATGCGTTTATGTATAATTAATTAAATTTATTCAGTTTTAAATATTTAGCGATTTGAAGGACTAAATTTTTAGTCAGAAACACACAGTATAAAATAAAAAGTATTTGCATCCATAAGCTTAATTCTACGTATGTAAAGAAAGCGTTGTATTCAAAATTTGTTTCATCCTTTCAAGCCGAAAGAGAGAGAGAGAGAGAAGAAATTGGGGGGAGGGGGGGACATAAATTTGATTTGCGTCTACGAATGTCCCCAGGTAGTGCCCGCTCTGGAAATGAAACCGAAGCTCACGTAAATAATATTTAATAATTCAGTCCGTACCGCGAAGAAAACACTACGCTTAACCATTACAAAGATCAACTGGTTGACTCTGTTTAAGAAAATAATTGTTTTTTTACACTGATAATTATAAGAAACTCATAAATAGTTACTTATTATTGAATCAGATGGGACGTATAATTACCACTGGGCCTTAAAATGTTTTAAAAATGGGTGTAAAATGATTTTTGTGTTTCATTTTTCAAATTCTAACTTACTCACCCTATTCCATTGGAGTTGACGTTGGGCATATCTGACTCTGAGATTTTCTTTTCCTTGTTTCTCTTATCGTCGTCTTCGTCGGCTTCTCTCAGTGGTTCGTACGGTTTATCGTCTATCTTGACGCTGCTTCCAAAGTTCGCAGTGTCGAGAGACGCCGCCGAAGCCCACCAGTTCATTTCGGAGGCCGCCTGTCGAGTGTTTGGATCGTTCACGTGCGTTGTGCTCCTTTTAAAAGACGACATCGAATATCTTCTTCTTCCTGATCAATAGGAGATATATTTAGATCTTTTGTGTATCCCCCAAAAAAAGTCACACAACTCGAAGTTAACATGTATATATTTTGGTAATGTGATAGGGAAATTTTAATCTGTCAAGAACCGACCACAGAGTATTTTAATATTAGTCCTATCCTGCAATACGAACGTAAAGGAGCCACAGAGCTAGAATTGCGTGACGTACCAGTTACCCGGTGTTCCGGTAGAGGGGTCTCGAAGCCATACACAGATTGAGTATCGATATCATGGTCGATGGACGATCCTGTCGTTAGAGTTCGACGTCGTTTTGACGGCTCGTCGATGTGGAGTGATTTCCGTTCCTCTGTATAACGGAAATTCATAGCATTAATTCTTTAAATTTTATATCTACATAGAAACATCTATTTTATGGGCTGAGTCATTTGAGAAGCTGGCAATTAGCATTGAATAGTCAAAAAACTTTCGAAGTGTCCATCTGTGTTCAAAAGAGCTTCCCAATGGACGCTGTCTTCAGCCATATGAATCCAGTATCCACCATCAAACCATGTTTTGTTCAGATTCGTTTTAATATTATCCTCCGATCTGTACTTAAGTCTCCAATTTTGTATGATTTTATGAATTATCCCACGTACGTTGCGCATGAAATAAATAAAAAATGCTTACATTTTAAAATAAATTTTGTATATTTATTTTTATCCGAATGTTGGTAAAGATATTTAAAATATAGCCATGATAAGTGTTATATATATATATATATGTAGCTGTTATCTTCATATACTTCCTGTTAACATTGATCATTTTAAAAGGGTTTAAAGAGGAATTAGCTTTATCTGATATTTTAATAAAATCATGTTAACTTAAATAATTACTAACAAATATATGTATCTATTTGCATTTTCGATAAATTTCACCTCATAATCTTGCCACCCGTAAGTCGCTAAGAAATGAGGTTATGTTGATGTTTACGCTGGGTGGCAGACGGCTGACTGACTGTCTCAGGTTTCCTCACCTTGTCTACTCACCAGCTTCGTCGTCTTCGTTCCCATTTTCCATCGCTGCTAGAGTGGTTTCCTTTGGTTTCATATGCCATTTCACTGGTTGTAAGAGCAGAGCTCCCGCGATCGAATGCAAGGACAGACCTCCGAGTATAAGCGATGTACCCATAATCCCGTATACATCCATCAGCTTGCTGATTACTAGAGGCATGAACACTGGGCCGAGTCCCATAGCCGTAGTCCCAAATCCGACAGCTTTGCCTCGTCTCTCGCGGAAATAGGTGTTGATGGCAAGGTTTAAACCAGAAGCCAGAAGATTGAATCCTACGGCTGAAATATTTATTATATTTATATATAAATATGTGAGTCATAAGAGAATAATATTTGCACCAAAGAATAATTAATAAATACGATGCTAAATAAAACTTCACGATAATTATCTCCATAATTTATATTTTTCGCCGATTATTTGGATGATCAAATCAATGGTGATGAGATGGACGGGGAATGTAGGACGCGTGAGATATGAAAATTCTTGTAGGGAAGGTAACATTTGGGTGTGGATTGGATTCATCTGGCTCAGGGTAGGGGCCTATGGCGTGATTTTGTGAATACGGTAATGAACGTTTTTATTTCATAAAATATTGAGTGTTTCTTGACTTTTTTATAACAGATTTGTCAAGTCGTGGGCTTATGGGACACTCTGTATACTTTTTTTTTGTAATGTCTTGTTTCGTTTGCGTTTAACTTACATGAGATGATGCCATAGCTGAACAGGAAGAAACCAAATGAATTAGCTTGGCTTGTTAGAATTACTCCGATTGAATTTATAATTGCACCAGCAATAGAAATCTTGCGGTAACCAAAATTTCTGAGTAAATATCCGGTGAGAAGACCTATAAAAAATAAAGTTATGTTAGTAACCTCTGTTTTTTCAGGTGAGAAAAAATTATAGAAAACAAAAGTTTCCTAATCAGACGTAAATTCGTACTTATATTAAAATTTAATTCAAAGTATTTGCACTTTTAAATATGAGTATAAACTAACAACACTTATCGAAAACAATACACAAAATATGGCTATAAATAATCACGAAATATTTGTATTGCAGCTAGAGGTCTGTTTGGGGCTGGAATAAAGGGAAATGTCAAAATTTTCTGGAGATAAATTGGGGGGGGGGTGAAATTCCAAAATATTTCGTGCAGACCTTGAATTGCAAATACTTCATACGGTTGTGAAACGTGTTCTCCTACTTTGACTCAGGAACATAAAAGTTGCAGTCATACAATTTGGGCTTTGAAGTAAGCAGTGTAAATTTTGGTTTTACAATGTTTTGGCAAACACTTCAATTCCATTCTTCTGGATGAATCAAAGACGGTATATCAACTACTGAGCATAGTTATTAAATGAACAGTGTTAAATGTTGAGTATAGATTCTGGAATTTGCGAGATATGAGAATCGACCGCAAATGTAAACTGATAATAATAACATAGAAATTAAAAAAAATATCTTTTATGTGTTTCCCGCGAGGTCCATTAACCATAAATTACTTACCAAGTATCATTCCAAACGCTGCGTTTACGTTAATAATAACGGATGCATCAGTGCCAGATATTTCTAAAGTTTCAAATCTTTCCCTGAACAGTAAACCAAAGGACTGGAGAATCGGAACAATTATCACCTGGAAATAAAGCCATATGAGAGATAAGAAATGCGTATAAAATTTTAGCAAAGAAAACTGAAAAAAAAACAGTTTGAAAGACCTAGACGTATAAAGGAAGAAATATCAAATAATGGATATTAAAAGACGTATGTGAGATTGTGTATTGAATTTATATGTTCAGGGTACAGGCCTTTTGTGGGCTTTTGGGAACACGATGAATTTTTGGGATCCATAGTATTAATTTCTAGACTAGCAGTCGTTCATTCCGTGGTGCAGGGAATTCTTTTAAATGTCGATTGTTTTCTCGACTTGTCAAAGAATAGCCCACTTGAGCTCAATTCGATTACTCCCTATACGTTACGTAATTAAGTCGTTTGGTTTAAGAAGTCCGAAAGTTTGTTGGAAATTAGCGAACAGCTGTTATGACCCCACAAAATGTTTATGTGTTTAGTTCTTAAATGTTGTTATAGTTACTCTTGAAGTTCATTAATTTCTCTAGAGGTAAGAATGTAAATTTGCAAATGTTACCAGTTTCTTATTATTTGGAGGGGGGGGGGGGTCCCTGTAAAAATTTTGTAATTATTTATAAATTTTTACAAACCAAAACAAAGTGACCACTAGGAAGATCTAAACGTAGGTGGTACGAAAAAATTAAAATTTATCTTAGAGAAATAGCATGTGGTGGTATAGACTGGATTCATCTGGTTCAAGTGGCTGGCTCTTGTGAACACGGTAATGAACGTAAAATGTTGGGAATTTCTCGAGTGGCTGAGGGAATTTTGGCTTCTAAGGAAGGCCTTGGTCCCATGGAGTGAGTACTTCTAGTCCATCAGCTGAATCGTATTTTATTCATTAACAGTTAGCGATGTCGTTGTAAATCCTCTGGCAGTAGGTTTGCCAGAAGTGAAAAGTTAATAACTTACGTTGCAAAGAGCAAATGCAAATACGACGATCCACCCCCAACCGCCATCTGGAGCCACGAATTCTACTTTCTGAGTCGTATTTTTATCACACTTTCCTTCTGCAGGGTTCTTGTCCTTCGTCGTGATTTTTCCTCCCTGCATCGTGTCGGTATACCATCAGCTTTGCATCACAATTCTGTAATCAGGAAGAAACAATCCCATTTATTAACTAATGTCACCTTTATTTTATTTATTTAGTGTTCTGTCTGACGACAGGTCCATATGAACAGGATCCTTCCATCCTTTTCTCGGACTGGGACCTGTTCATATACGTTCTTGGCAGATGATCCAGAAGTGGTTTGCCATTGCCTTCTTCTCTGTGTGAATGGAGTAATTGTTGGGATGCCACGGAGGAAAACTCCGTGTTGCCTAGACCACGGCCTTGCCCAACACAAGTTATAAATTCGGGCACCGCCGGGAATCGAACCCGAGACCCCCAGGATTACAAGGCCAGCGTTCTAACCGCTAGACCACCGTGGCGAATGCCACCTAAAATGTGTTAATTATCTACAAGTAAAGATAAAGTTTTATTAAAACCATCAGATACATCTTGTTGAAAACTGAGAGGAGTTTAAATATGGAGAATTGTGCCATGTAATTGTCTAATTTTTTTTCCCGTTTGGTATCCAAAAATTTTATACAAAATTATAATTTTACCTATTGTTTGTATGGGCGCGTGCCATTTCGCAAAGCTTAAATAAAATTGCTGCCAAACGCAGGCTATTCAAACCGACACGAAAAGAAACAAACAAAACACAATCTTACCGCGTACCTCACATCCAAATCGTTTCGTAAAAGTTTCGAACTGATTAAGAATTCAGAAGTATTCCATAAAGTAGTTCGGTTTATCTGTTTGTAACTTTATAGTGCAAAGTCGTAATATAATATCGTTTTTATAATTACTCACTAGGTAGCCATCTGGATTCAACTGGCATCAGTGACAACTTTTGGGTTCAGTGCAAGCATGCCATTGTGCTGTACCAAATTAATGATTGTCTGATAAGCTCGAGTTGGGTTTTTTTTATTGCAATATTCTGCAGTGTTGGCAGTATGCTTTTATTTAGGTTATGTGCTCTACAAAATAAGGCGATACTTAGTTTTATCTGAGGTTTTATGCCATCAGGTCATTGTTACTGTAGGTTAACATTTATGAAATACATTTAATTATCTAGTTATTTATCGATTCTCGCATTCGACGATCTCTTCCCATAAAATTTAAACAAGAAACCTCTCGGAAATTAAGCAGGAGTGCCAACCACACAACGTGACTTCAGTCTATAATTTTAAAACTCTGACGAACATACAGTAGTTGAATTACATTTGAGGAATTGTTTTGTAAAATACACTGTGTCTATGATATTAACCCTTTGGAGCAAAGTGGTAATTATATGTACCGACTGTTTTAACTTTCAGTAGTTACACAATTTTTGCACTAACCCTGTTTAAGGTCATCTTATTCTCAGAATAAACAGCTGTTTTCATAAACAACTTTAATTTTTGAGATGATAATGTTGCGTCATATTGTGATGATTATAATTGTTTAATTTAATTTTAAATATTAAATGTTAATTGTAGTAATAATATTTTAATATTTAATAAAATATTTTATTGTAATTAGACGGTTAAAATTAAAATTAAACAACTTTAATTTTCACAAACTATCTTGTGGAAATGAAACATGAACGTTAAATACTATTACCTAGACACTAATAGTCAGTCTCTAAGTCCGTAGATACAGGTAAATATTTAATTTGAACAGTAAATAATTTGTTACAAAACGTGTTTAACATCTAGAGATGGTGACGTGATATATTTCCTTAACTTTCCTCTTGACGAAGAAAGAGAGAATTTGTTTAAAACAAAGAGCGATGTTTTGACAAAAACTGTCGAAGTTGCACCACGTTGAATTACAGGTTAGGTTGAATGATTCTCGTAATAGGAATCTTAGGTTGATTTAACCTTATCTGAATCTGATTTTATTGTATCAGAAATACTTGTTTGATTTCTGCCAGCGTTATCGCGTATGAAATAAATTCTAAAATAGTTGTAGAAAAACGTTTTAAGTAATTTCTGTAATGCCTTCGTGAACATATAATAAAATCTAACTTTTGCACAAAGTCCATTCACTGTGTGATAAAGAAAAATAGTTCAAACCCATGACCTGTAGACAGCAGACGGTCATGTTGCACGTGCCATTGAAAATATGTAACATTTATGTTAAAAAAATTCTACGAACTTAAAAACGATTTGCGAAATAAAGCATAACCACGCAAATAAAATTATTTAAAACATCATTAAACACTTAGCTTGAATCATATACACACACACACTGGATCTTTTCACAGTACGTTTTAAATTAGTAAACACATAAACTGTTTAAATAGTGATAATTATATGTAACTAACATTGTACTTTCAGTACGATTTGCAAAGATAATTCTAAATTGGAATGGTTCAACACAAGAAAAATGCTCATTTCCGTCAACTTTGACGGGTCGTAATATACAAGTCGTTATAATAAATGATTATATTAATTTAGATTGTGGATATTTCCGCGTTTTAATATTTGCCTATGTTTTGCTTTAATAAATAAAGGATAAAGTTAAGTGAATTGTCATGAGCCTTGTTTGAATTGTCTCCTTATCGCCATGTTCTTAGTAAAAGCAAACTCACGAATTATGACATCATTTGTAACAATCTTATGGACGTTCTGGGAACTTTCAAGTATCAGAACAAAGGCTGTATTCTCTGACTGTGCATAAATGTCTCACAGGGGTCTTTCCCCAACACCACCTTCAGAAAAATTAATTTCTTTCTTTGTCTGCCTGACAGCTGTTTGAACATCTGGTCTTAGAACTTTTTCCTAACTTCTAATTCGTTCTATATATACGTATAGTTTAAGAAAGCGATTATAATTCTGGCATGAGCTGGTCATGACATAAGGTTAAAAGCATCTCTCAGACCTTGGATTCTTCAGTTCAACATCCTAGAGTTTACACTACTGATACGTGTTAGGAATTTGGCATGAAGATGGTGTTTCGGGTTCTTTTTAATTTTAAACAAATTTTAACTCTCAAAATTTCCTTTCGTTCTTTAATTTGTTCTCAATTTCTCATTATTCTTTTAATCTGTTCATTTTTTCGTATTTGTCTTTCTTCTTTTCATTATCGTTTCTGTTTTATTTTTTATTTCGTGATACATTTTATTTTATTACAATTTTCTTCTGTCTTTCTGTCCTCTAGAATTCTTCATGTTTTCTCACTCTTTTCTTTTACTTTTATCGCCTTATCTTTCTTTGTCTCCTTTCCTTTATCGGTTGTTCACTCCGTTTTATTCTATTTCTTATATTTCCTTCTTCAGTTCCCATTTCTTCTTTTATTATATTCTTAATTTCTATCGTCCTGTATTTCTTATCTTTCTCTCTTTCATTCGTTTTCATTAACCTTCGTATTACTCTCTTTTTCTCCCACCACCGAAACACATCGTTAATAAGTTTGTCTTTGTCGGAAACTTTTAAGCTTTGTTCGTCTTAAAGAATGAAAATGCTAATGAAAGAATTTTTCTCCTGTCTCTCCCACATTTATATATTCTCCCCCCAATCATTTCTCCCCAAAACACCACCCCCCCTTCGGAACCGGTATTTTAAATTTTAGTTCCCTTCTATGTACTTTAAATTTCTCGTTCTCGAAGTTCACGTTATTTCTCTGTATCACAATCGATTTTAATCGTGTGTGTTATATCGAATTCCGTATTCATTAAGTGGATATAAAAATCCCTACCCTAATACTTCGTGTTTTTATTTATTTTTATAACTAAGGCTAACTTAGTGGTAATGTATCTAACTCGGAATGTACTTGATGCAAATTTTCTCAGCGTGATCCAGAACATATGTTGTCCTGCATATTTATCTAAATATTATATTCTTTAAGAATCTAAAACCTGGATAATAAGCAGAGAAATTTATATTAATATTCACTTCTTACACTCGATATTGCATAAAGGGCTGTGAAGTTGTTTCGTAGACATATTGTTTATCTTTGTCTTATCTTTATATAGAGACAGATTAGAAAAGTTAACAGTTATGAAGTGCTGATAGTGATAAGGGAAACACTACCTCATTATGACTAGTTTTTCTTGTAAAGAGACCTGTTTTTTTTTTATGAAAAATCTGGTTCTTGGTTAGGTTAGGTTTCCTTTGAAACAAAATTGTTACAAATAAGTTGACTGGAAATTATCCAACATCGCTAATAACATAGTTTGTTTAATAAAATACTTTTAAAAAAAAAGAATATTTTAACTATGGAAACCATCCGACGTTTCATTTGATTCTTCGACAGTTTGTCATTTAAAAGCGACTGTTTAAAATAGTATTAAAATATATTAAAATTGTCCGTCAATCACAATAAAGTAATATAAGATAATTATATGGTTAAATATTATCCTTTGTTCCGTATCGAGTACTCGATTTACATATGGAACATTCTCGACATGTTTCGGCTTTCATAGAGCCGTCATCTGATCTCTCCTCTTACAACTTCGATATTACTTCTCTGACCAATATACGCAGCATCAACATCACTCCGACAATACGATTACATCAATGTTATATAACACATCAAATAAGTTGATACAATGAAAAACGAAGAAATGATAAGAAAATTAAAAATTAAAAATTAGTAATTGAATTAAGAGTTTAAAACATACACCTGATGACGGCTCTATGAAAGCCGAAACATGTCGAGAATGTTCCATATGTAAATCGAGTACTCGATACGGAACAAAGGATAATATTTTAACCATTTAATTATCTTATATTACTTTATTGTGATTGACGGACAATTTTAATATATTTTAATACTATTTTTAAATAAAATCACAATATGACGCACCTACAATATCTTATAGCGACTGTTTACACACTCCTTTTGAAATTTAAAAAGCTACTCAAATAACCGTTATTTTAGATATTAAGTTATATTCAGTGATGGTTATTATCGAGTAACAGTTATTAAATATACGCCTAGTTCGTTTTAGAACGCTCTTGAATGACCGGTCGATGTTATCACTTATGTGAACAGCATATATGCCGAGTAACTCCATGGGAATCGAAGATTCACTTAACTGGTAAAGAAGTTTCCACCAAGAAAGCTTTGATTTACTACAGCGTTGCCAACAGTCCAAAATTACCACCACAGCCCACACTATTTTGAACCACGTGAATCAAATCCACACCCTCGCAATCAACACGTCTAAGACTAATTATAGTTTTCTATCTTTCGCCGTGTTTCGATCTCCCAAGAAGTGAGGTTGTCCAAACACAAGGTTATGTACGAAAATGTGTTCCATCAATGTCTGTTCTCATTGTGGCAACAGTTACCCTTCGAGTTGCGTAGTTCCCAGTAAAAAAAAAAATTAAAAAAATTAATTATTAGAAGATGGCTGTCTTATGGAATATTACGCCGTTTCGATTCGATTACTGCCTTCATCAGGGTCCGGCGCAACATTCCAAAAGACAGCTTCTTACGTGTTGCCCTGAGAATTTGATAACTCGCTGTGTATTATTTAATCCGATACGATTTGCCTTTGGATACTCATAAAAGAACTCAAACCAACAATTAGGATTACCAGCATAAGTTTGAACCGTGAATTTTCAGAGTAAGAATTATTAGTGCTTAAGATCAGATCAGACTTGGTTGAAATGACCTTGAAATTAATTGGCTTAAAGAATAAAGATCAAAACAAGTTCATAGTCGTATTCTGTTGTAGTGGATTGGTACAAAAACATCACTTAACCTCAATATATAGAGCAATTTGTGAACAGTTATGTTTGTCGTTTAAATTAATCTTTCTGGCTTTGTTGTACAACTACACTGTGTTACGTAAGTGCTAACACCAAGTTCGTGTATCGCGGACTGAGCTGTTATAAGGTTCATATTTTAAACATTTAACGATTATGCCTTTAAACATCGAGGAATGAGAATGGTTTATGACCTTAACAAATTTAAGTACACGGTATACCATATGAAAATGGAATTTAATTCTATAAAACAAAAAATCTATAGTATTAAAATATATTAAAATTGTCCGTCAATCACAATAAAGTAATATAAGATAATTAGATGGAATGTTCCATATGTAAATCGAGTACTCGATACGGAACAAAGGATAATATTTTAACCATCTACTTATCTCATATTACTTTATTGTGATTGACGGACAATTTTAATATATTTTAATACTATTTAAATAGAATCACAATATGACGCACCTACAATATCTTATAAAAAATCTATGTTCGCGTATCCACATTGGCCCTCTAAAAGACTACATTTCCCACGAGGGAAATTTAATGGCAGTGGGTTTTTTTTAAAAAAAATTAACCTTCTAAAATAATTATATATTTTTTTAACAGACACGTGTGTTACGTTAAACCTTAAATAGTACAATCTCATTTTAAAGTATGTGTCAATTAAAGCCAGATGAAGTTTAAACTTTATTTTAATTAATAATTTTTGCCTTTAATATCTCATCTTTTGTAACAATTTATCAGAAACATTCAGTTTTCTCTTATCGATACATGAACTGATTATATTTGTCTCTTGTATTTGGTTTAACTGATTTATTTAATCGATTCTAAAAACTCGATTTTTTTTACGTATGACGTCATAGTATGGTCTCGTACGATCCTCAGCTGATTAATGTAGGCATGTTGCAAGTGTACCAACCTGAGCGCTGATGATATCCCTTCGATGGTTGCGCAACTGTTGATAAGGTCCACCCGTTCTCTGTGCGTGTATGCTGTTACTGCAAACACGATTTATCTGGAGTTTCTCACCGAATATTGCACCACCATAAAAAAAATTTACTCACATATAATAACTAATTTTAGATTCACTCGTTAAAATTTCTTTAAGTGATGTCAAAATTAAAACGTGTATATAATTGAACACTCTTCACCTTATGATTTTCATACTTTATTAATAGTTACATATATGCCACATTGTAGTTCTCATATTTCGATTTAATTAACACGATATATTTTTTTATAAAATACAAACGTCAGTACAATGTCGATAGTTTTCATCTGTTCGTTGCTAATTATTATTGCGTAATAATTTTGAGTGTGTTTCAGTGTTCAAATCCTGTAACATCACTGTATTTTTAAAAGTAAAAGCTGTTTTCACTACAAAACAAGTATTTAACACCGTTACTTATACATAAAATATTCACTTTACGTAAGAAATACTTGAAGTTACGAAACACACACACAGTATATTTCAGTAGTATCTCCGCGATTTAACATCGTTTCAGTTGAGACACGTGTTACTATAATAAAATTATTCGAAATGTCTTGTGAAAAAATTACGTATTTTGTCAGATTTGGGCACCAATCCAAGTATTGACCAGACCGCAACCTTGTATTCCAACGAGCGACACTGCACTGAAGAACTGGCAATGAAGCAGGAGTTAGCGTTTGGAGATTTTGCGAAGTCATCATTGGCTATACCAAGGTCTCGGAATATCTCGTAACTTGGATACGTTATCCGTACCTTCACCAGTTGTGAGTTCTCCTTCATCTGAACCTCCCTTCTTCTCTCTTTGTGTCTCTCTAATCACTATTATTACTTTTTCCTTTCCCAGTGTATTTTGTTTCCTTTCTTAAAAATTACTCAATGTTATCTTGTTCTTTAGTTGCGTTTAAACTATTTCCGTTGTTGTTGAAGCATTTCTTGGAACGTCTAAGCGAATTGTAAGCTCGTAGCTCGTCCTCTGAAATCTTTCTCCAGGTTAAATTACCCCAAGACGAAAGATGAGACCTCGAAACTCGTAAGCGATGTGAAAGTTAAGAACGTGTACTTAAATGCCTTTATTATATGGTGGTTGGACCCAAGGTAAATTTTATCCCGCTAGGTTTATTTTGATTTGTTTATTGAAAGTTTCGTAATAAGGATTTTCTTCATATCTGGCGTTAATTATCTCATTATGTAAGTTAGATTTAAATCTTAGCGGTCTTGTATGCTGCTTGATTATAACCTCTAAAAAATATTTTTTAATAAGTATTTTTGTAACGTTAAGGACAAAGATATATTTAATCGTTTTTTAACAAAAAAAATAAAAATATCCAGTGTTTCCAAATTTAAAAAAAAATATACTTGCTGATAACCAGGCTGGAAAAAAGATTTGGATACGAAAAGGTAAATAATTAAATTTTTTGTTGAAAGTGGAAATAAAATTAGCCGCGCTGTAAGAGATGTGGTGTAAAATTAGCAGTGAACTGTTGGAGACTAGAATTTTCAGACGTCACCGACAGACTTGGAGGGTTATTTTTACGCTGTACCAGAAAATCTTTCGTACAAAACCATTTATCCAGATTGTATATTTTTGCGTGTTCAGTCAAAGCTCTTGCGGAATATTACTAAACTACTTTATGTTCATTCTAATTCATCCAAACTTTTACACAAGTCATCTGAGTAATATCGATATAAATCGAAATTTTTATATCGGAAATTGAATTATATATGTCTACATTCTGTTTAAACACGTTTCCAGTAAATCCAAATTTTCATATTGATTCTCTGCTATAAATGAGACACACAAACATATATAATACAACACTTAACCATAAAATACGCCAAAAAAACTGTTTTTTAATCGAGGGTTCCCATGGTTTATCTATAAATCCTATTTCCATGACGTGAATACAAATCCAGTATCTTATATTTCGTAATTATAATTCGTATCATAATCAAATACTTTCATTAAACGTATGTAATATTTTGTTTTAATGTACCTACAGTCTTATAGACTAAGGAAATGCATTTAAATACATATTTATGGCCATTACTACATACCGATCGTAAAAAGAAGTTTGTTGAACGCTGATCTAGACTGCTGTAAAGGATCGTAAGGCCCTGATAGCTTTATTGTATGGGATAATAGGAAAGTATTCTACGTTCTGCTGTAAGTAGACATTGGAATCAAAAAAAAATACCAAGGAATTTAATACAGTTAGTTAATAAGCGTAATATATGAGTCACAGATAACGTAGTTAAAAGTCGACATGCTGATATTTTTGGAGAAGGAAATTGGTCTTGTTTTAGCAGGTTTAATCTTCACATAATTTGCATTACACCAGAAATAATAATAATAATAATTTGTTTTAATTTACTTCATCAATAGCCAAATGACCAATTAAAGACAAAATACAGTACAAATAAAACGAAACACAATAGTAAGAGTTTAAATAATTACACAAGGGATATATTAAGAAAGGTTGCTGACAGAAAATGTTTTAAAATATACTTAAACGTAACCTATTGATTTCTAAGTATGTCAGTATTTTTTGCCGTGGTTTAGGCAACACGGAGTTTTCCTCCGTGGCATCCCAACAATTACTCCATTCACACACAGAAGAAGGCAATGGCAAACCACTTCTGGATCATCTGCCAAGAACGTATATGAACAGGTCCCAGTCCGAGAAAAGGATGGAAGGATCCTGTTCATACGGACCTGTCGTCAGAGAGAACACTAAATAAAAAAATAATAACATCTAGGGGAGGGACAATTTTTACCTGAGAACTAGCATTAAACAAAGGAAATTATCTGGAGTTTATGAGATCAACGCGAATGTCAATAGTTTCTAGTAAAGAAGGACAGTAAACATTGATGACAAGGGACGAGTGTAAATTGTGACTGATATTGCTTAAGTAATGGAAAATAAGGTGTCCTAAGGCATTATAGTCATACATTGAGTAACATGTTTTCCAGAGTACAAAGTTGAATGAAGAAAAATTGCATTACGTGTGATTAATACATTTTGCGTCATGATATTTATGTACTTATTATTATTCAGTGTTCTGTCTTACGACAGGTCCATTGCTCTGCCCAAAAAGAGCTCTCCAGTTGTCCCTATTCTCGGCTTGTCGCTGTAATTCCTGGAACGTCATCTTCTTTCCTTGTTTAAGATCGTCGGTTAGCTGTATCAATCTTCTTCCTAGTCCTCTCTTTCCTTCAACCTGGCCTTCGATGATATCACTCAGTAACCCATTCCTTCTCATAACATGTCCCAGCCAGTTAGCTTTCCTTCGTGTAATCGCCTGCAGAATGTTTCTTTGCTCGTTGACTCTCCTCAATACTTCTTCGTTGGTCACTCGATCCGTCCACCTGATCTTTTCTATCCTTCACCAACACCACATTTCAAAACTCTCCAGGTATTTCTGTTCCTTCTTCCTGAGTGTCCAAGTCTCTGCTCCATACGTAACACTTCACTAGTTTCTTCATTTGTGTACTAGACATAGTAAATTGTAATGCATACACTCAAACACTACGTAAGTGACATGTTGAATAGTGACAGAAGGTTACTAGGAAAGTCAACACGAAATACGTGCTTCACTGCTCGCAGTCTCATACGTCATAATTCATCTTACGTCATAATTCATCTTACGTCATCGTTAAATCGTGAATATTCTACCTCACAGCGAAAAGTACAAATTTTATTAATGTCGTAAATACGGATTTTAAATCCATTTTTAGTGAATCTTTTTTTTTAAATTTATGTTCTTGTAATTTTGGTCTAGTCATTTTCTTGTTATGTGTCAAACTCTACATGAAATCTAATGGCTGATTCATCGATATATCGATATTTGTTTTTTTAAGTCTTGTACATAATCTGTATTTTATATATCAAATGAAAATTATACTTTTAGAAGATCCTAAACACATACAATCAAGGTTAGAATTCAGGTTCTGACTGCGTTCATTATAAAAAATACAGTTTTCAGTTACGTAGCGCCGTGTAGTCTGGTAGAAGTTTAAAGACACCAACGCTGTTATGTTGGTAACAACTGGCTTTTGTAGAAATATAACGACATTTAATATTTTAAAGCAAGGCAGAGATAGTGTAGCAAAAATTGAGGAAGAATACTGAGAGATAAATTTAACGGGGGGAGGAATATACATTTTACTGATAAAGGTTCCCATGCAGTGCTCGCTCGTCCTTCTGGTAGAAGTAGTTTTACGAGAAGGCGTTAGGAAATAGGGAAATATATATTTAGCTCAAATATTAAACTGAATTTAACTCCCATACAATATTACAACGTTAATTTGTATTTTGATAAGTAGGATTTGAGGTTCTCACAGCGGAGAGTATGAAGATGGCGGCCTTGTTGCCTTCATAACGCCGATGATGGAGGCAGCAGGTACCTCTAAAACCCAGATAAACTTCTACCAGACTAAATGACGTAAGAACACAAAAGACAGCTATCTTGTGTTGTACTCTTTGTGATATTTCCATTTGACGTCATTTTGGAATCAAAACGTAAATGTGAAAGGAATAATGAAGCAGAGAAAAATTGTGAGGTTATGACACGAGATGAAATAAAAATTGTAGATAGGTTAACGCGGTGGAAATAGATCAGCTGTTGTCCTGACATTTTGTTGATTTTTTTTATTTTAAAGTCTAACTTCTAGTTGATATTTGAACTTAATGCAAAAACTTTCGTATGGTAATTTATTATATTACACAGTTTATTAATAAATAAATATCTTGACAGGATATTTTTTTTATTTTGTTTGTTTACTTTGATTTTCAAGGCCGCGTTCCCCTATACCCGTTAAACCCATACAATATTAAGTTCGTCCAACGCGGATTGACCGAACGCGCCTCTTTTAGAAGAATGTATAACCCGATTTGTACGAGGTTTTACTTCAGTGACGTAATCTTAACTCAGTTATTCATTTCATATATTTTACTTACAACCATTTGCAGAACGAAACTTATCTAAATGTTCTTTATAAATTCAGTCTCTACTTCGGCAAGGATCAGACGGTTATTGCTGTTCAAGATTTTAATAGCTGTTTATTATAAGAACATACGAAAGCCATAAATATACGTACACTCGTGGACAAAATGTTATATGCAAAGATGTTCGAAGGAAAATAGATTTTAAAAAAAGTTTGACTGTTTAATATTCTTTATGGGAATGTAATAAAACAATATGGAGGACTCTCTAAATATTCGACAACTAATGTACCATCTGAGCAAGGCACAGAAATATTGTATGATATTTTACCAAATTTTTACTTTTTTAAAAAAAAATCGGTTCAACCATAATTTCGGTTGTGTTATGTCTCGATAAACAAAGTTTCTGCGCATTTAGAGTGACAAAGCGGCCTAGTAACAACGATGACCTTGACTCTGGTGTCATGAGGGAAATTTTGGTTATTGTTACACCTGCTTCTGGTTTGATTATTTATTGTCTTTAGTATTTGAGTTTACTTGTAAAAGATACGCATTGTACTAGTAGATATTATTAACCCATAGCTCATACTGGCCTCTTAATTATGTACCAAAGCATTTTAATAGACATGAAAAGTTCCTACCAGAACTTCTTAAATAGCTTGCTGATAAAAATTAATATAATTTCTTAGCTTGTCTTAGAGGTCGCG